CTCCATGTTTTTGCATTAGGAACATTTTGGTAGATGTAGAGGTAAAACATGCCAATATGGTCTAAATTTAAGAAGAAGAAAAATGTTTTACCTTGGTTGAAGGTCCCAGTCCACTGGCTCACCCTTTAGGGTTCAACTGTTGCAGCTACAATGTGGTATCTCACAATCCAGAAAACATGCAGGAATAGCTGTGTTGGCCATTTAGCAAATTCAAACAGAAAACTCACTTGCATGGTAGGTAGTGACATCTAGCGCTCCTTCTACCATTACCATTGCTAGTGCAAGAAGCCTTTTGTTCTACCAGCTTTGCATATGCAGTATATATGGTAGCAGTCCTCCTCCCAACTGCTTGGCTACTCTTTCTCTTCACCAAGTAGGTGAACCAGAAGGTTTTAATATTGAAGAGGAAGAGCAGGTCCAGGAAACTATTGTCAGTGGGTCCTCTGCTGGGATGTAGACTCTCCGCAGGCATCCAACCATACCAGCCCTAGGTGCTGGTTCTGATGGTCAGTTTGTAGCTTCCACTATAATTAGTTAAGTTGGAAAAGGGACTGATATAAAGTATGTGAGTGAAACTTGCGGGGTAGGGGTGGGCAAGAGGAATAAGAGAATTGGAAACCAGAAAGAGACAGGATGGAGAGTGCTCCAGAAGTCCAAAAAAGATAAGCTGAAACCAAAAAGGCCAGAAGCTACATTGCCAATGGATTGGGATAAATTAAACTGCTTGCTAGAACTTGATTAAATTAGAGAAATGGTCTAGGGGAAAAAATTCCTATTTTTTTAATTTATCATAACTGCTTTTATGATTAACTGCTTGAATTATTTTAAAGTCTGGGGCACTTTCCCCTAGAAAGTTAATTAGGGGGGAAACCCTGCTGCTTCTCAAAGGTTTTAATAAAAAGTTGAGTTTTAATAAAAAGTAGTTGTTGCTTGTTGTGATTTTCAAGTGAGTTGGCTGGATCAAAAAAAGGCCACTAAAGATGGAATAACTGATTCAGTTGAGGCAGCCAACAATTGGTGGCAGCCCTGAGGACCCTAGGAAGGAAGAGATGCGGAGGGGCTAACATCTGCTCCCTCTTTATAGTGCTGCTGGTAGGCCAGGGTTAGGGAATTTGTGGCACTCCAGATGCTGATTGACTCCTTCCATCATCCTTGCCATTCACCATTTTAGTTGGAGATAACAAGAATTAGAGTTCAGTATCCATGTGACCAAATGTTCCCCATCGCTGTTATGGCTCATTTTACAAAAGACCCACTTTCAAAACAAAATGACGGGAGCCCCCAATTTAAGCAAATCTAAGCACTTGGGCATTCCCAGTATAATTTTTGTCTGTTTCTTCTTTAGAGGGCAGACCACACATTTAGTATAGCACAAATGGCTTTGGAAGTACCCTAACACCTCATTTTCAAAAGTGGTTTGCCATATGGCAGTCATAATTTCCCTCAGCATTAAACATGAGAATAAACAAAAACAAAAAAGGGCAAATTTTCACCACACATGCCAAAACATGTGGCAAACAGGTGGTTTAAAAATTCATAATGGATAACATAGCCTTTACAGACACAAACAAATCAATGCACAGGAAAATATGTGTATGCCACTAGCAGATTCCCCCCCCCCCAAAAAAATGACCATAGACACACAATATGAGTTTTCCTCTTAGCTTCTCTTAAAATTAAGCAGAGTGCTTTATAATAAACTAGGCAATGAAATTTGAAGAAAAGGGCAAAAGTGACAGATATGAGGTGAGGAAAGATTTGGATACCAGAAGCCAGTCACATTTTACCAATTTGGATACCAATGAAGAAACATCTAAAGCTCTTAAAACTATTCTATAAATTAATACTGAGATGTCTGTAATGCTGATCTGTTAAGGTCTGCTAGCACAAGACTATTTTGTCCTGGAGGAGAGTTCTATGATCCTAGAGGTGGTCAGAGTTCTAGAGATACCATGGACTGCTAAAAAGACAATTTATTGTGTGTGAGAGAGAACTCTCACTAGAAGCAAAGCTGAGGTTTTTGTTCTTTGGACATATCATAAGATGAGGTGACTCACTAAAAAAGGTGATAATGCTTGGCAAAATGGAAAGCAGTAGGAAAACAGCAAGACAGCATTACAGGTGGATTGATTCAATTAAGGAAGTCATTGCCATAAGTTTGGAAGATCTGAGCAGCACAATTGATAACCAGGTTTTCCAGAGGTCTTTCATTCATTGAGTTATTTTAAACTGAAGTCAACTTTGTGGTAAATAACAACAAAAGTAAGATTAATGCAACCAGGCAAGTACAGGAAAACAATAAGATACCACACGAAGCACAGGCTTCACAGGTAATCTGACTAGAAATCCTCTTTTCTGCTGCACAATCCATTATTTAAAGAGCTTCCTGAGAAATTCCTCGCATATGGCTGATACATAAAGAACAAAAGATGACCACCAATCAGTCTTCGATGCTTTAATAAAATTAAGCCATGGGCAATCCAAAAACTGAGCACCTCTGTTCTGCTCACAGTGGCACCAAAGATGAAACTTTACCTGCTTCCAAGCAAGAAGAGCGGTGTTGTCACCATGTCCCTTCCAGGGACAAATGTACAGAAAGAAAATGGCTGCTCCTACATAGGGCAACCAGTTACTTTTCCATCCAATGTCCCTGAAAATAATAGGAAATAACATCATTTCCCTCCTCACCCAGAGGTATGTGAAGTTTCAGTTCACAGCACATGGCAGGCAGATAAGCTCAGCTCATCTGCTGGTTTTCCTTTTATCCATATTAATTATGCTTAAAGAAAAAGAAAAGAAGGGAAGACAGATGAACCAGAGCATGAGATCGCTGCTGTCGCTTCCTCTTCTTCTTCATGTCTTTGTCTCTTAGCAGGAATATTTGTCCGATAGTAAGAAATTAAGTGTGACATGCAACCTGTTTATCACAAATAAGTCTGTTGTAGGAGAGGACAGCAATAAATGAACTGAGTAGAGGAAATTATTGAAAAAAATATATTTTGAAGCAGGATGGGCATAATCTGGAAATGAATGAGAAAACTGATTTAGGGCCAAAATAGATGGCCCTTTGGTACCACCATCCAGGTGACTTCGGAGCACGGCGTTTTGATGCTGCACATCCTGAAGCCACCCTAAAGCCACCCAGGCCATTTACATGTGGGCGACTTCAAGGCTCTCCGGTGGCACAGCATTTATATGCTGCAAACCACCAGAGCATCTTATAGCTGGCTTCTGGCCATGGCGGGACGGGAAAGGCTGGCTTTTTTAGGCCAGCTTCAAGACAGATTTGGGCCATGGCATGTGGTTGCCATGGCCCCAATCCATCTTTGGAAGGGTCAGCTTGAACCTGTTTCAGCCTTTAGATGCACTAGAATGGAATAGATTTATGATAAGAAATGATGAGAAATTAATCGGTTTGTCTTCTGTCAAGCGTAGTACAGTTGGCCATCCGTTTTCGTGGGGGATCCACTCCGGACTCCCCCTTCATGAAAACAGAGATTTGCCAATATTCAAGCCCCATAGGCTTAAATGGGGTTCACCTCACTGATTTTAGCAGAGGTCACCCCACCGTGAATATGCAAAAACATGGACTTCAAGTCTGCGAGAATGGAGAGGCGACTGTACTTCTAAATCACATACATTGGCATATGTAAATTGGCATCCTCTTTTTCAATGGTGAATGCTCTAATTTTTTGACAATTTTTGGCACTCTATTTGGCATGGTAGAGTAAGAGGTGTGGCTGACTGGCCCAAAGGGCCAGCCTGGGGGTGGAGTTAGAGTGGAGCAGCCGCACGCTGGCCACCCCAACCCCAGGACACCATCCTGACGCCACATGGCTGTATGTACGACACGTGGCATCGGGATGCCCTCCCAGCACAGCGTGCAGACACGCTGCACTGAAAGGGCACGCAAGAGCCATGACACTGGCTCTTAGGGCGGCCTTTTGCCGGCCCTAAAAGGAGCAGCATTTTGCCACTCATTTAGGGGCAGCAAAAGGGAGGATCAGGGCCACGGCGTGCGGTTGCCACAGCCCCAATCCGTGGCTAGCAGGGACAGCCCAGAGCCACCTGTTTGCATAGCCCCTAAGTTATGCTAGTGACCATTTTGAATTTTCTGCTCAAAACGACTTGGCTCACCACAGGGCCAGATTAGTACTGATTTAATTGGCCCCTCTGTTTCTGATATAAAGATGAAAGTAAAGAAATGTTGTTAATAATGTATAATAGATGCCTGTTTAGAGATATATAGTGCCTCAACAGATGAATACGTATCAATATTGTGTAAGATGCTTGATTACTCACATTATATGAAATGGATGGTACAGTTGGCTCTTGGTATCCGCAGGAGATCCATTCCTGATCCCCCTGCAGATACGAAAATCCGCAGATGCTCAAGTCCCATTGACTCAAATGGTGGTGTGGCCATGCAGCCGCGCCATTATTGTGGACAATGGGACTTCACCAGCCCTCACACGGGGATGCCTTCCTTTCTCCCTGACCTATGGTGGGCGGGTGGCAGGGGGCCACCACTTCCTTCTCCTCCTTTTCTTCCTCCCTCCCTCCTCTCACCAGTAGCAAGCAGGCAGTTGGAGGCATGGGGCCACTGCTGCTTCACCCTCCTCTTCTTCCAACCACCTCTTCCTCCTCCTCTTTCTTCCTCCATCCCTCTCAGTTCTCACTGGCATGAGACCACTGCCGCTGCCACCGCTTCCTCCTCCTCCTCCTCTTCCTTCTCCCTCCCTCCCTCCCTCCTGGCTCTCATTAGCAATCCTGGAGGTGTAGGAAAAGAATAATATAATTACTCCCTGAGAAAGAAAAACCCAACTGGTATTCAACCCACACTGTTGTTGTGTGCCTTCAAGTTATTTCCGACTTATGGCAACCCTAAGGCCATGCTATCATGGGGTTTTCTTGACAAGATTTGTTCAGAGGAAGTCTGCTATTGCCATCCTCTGAGGGTGAGAGTGTGTGACATGCCCAAGGTAACCCAGTGGGTTCCCTGGCTCAGCAGGGGTTCGAACCCTAGTCTCTAGAGTCGTAGTTCAACACTCAAACCACTACACCACAGTGGCTCTTTTCAGTCCACATTCCTCACTTAAAAATAGTCCTTGTTGTTGTTGTTGCAGTATTTGCCATCAATTCAGCTTCAGCTTATGGCTTCTAGAGAGAGCTTAGCCTGTAAGCTATCTATATAGCTATGTGATTATGCCTAAACAGGATTTCTGACAAGCATTTCTTAATAGCAAAGAAGGGAAGTGTATATATAAAATAAATAAATAAATAAATATTTATTTATTATTATTATATTATTATATTATTATAAAATGTAATACAATGGAGCTTATCACACAACAGTGTTATACCATAATTACATTGTCCAGTTTTTGCCTAGAGTTAAGGGGGGGGTTGCACCCTTTTTGGGTCCCCCCCCCAAAAAAAAATTAGTTGGATACATTCCAAATGCATGGGAACAACAAATATTCAACCCACATTCTACCGGGATTATTTTCATTATCTGAATAACCCCCTAGTGAGTGTGATGTAAGTGTGGTTTCATTGCTCCTCCCTTGAGGATTCCTCAAGCAGGAAAACCCCAAACTACTTCCAACTGAGTTGGGAGGGCACGAGATGCCCAAGAAAACTGCTGTATGTTTGTTCTCCATTCTATGTCATGGTTTTTCCACACTATTTTAAAAAAAGGATGAATAGCACAATAGTGTAATTCCAATGTAATCCCATTAAGATTAATGCTTAGAGAAGCCATGAGATTCATAAATGTTCAAACACTAAAAACAGAGTAAATATACAAAAGTTTAAAGAGTAAATATAGTGAAGTAGAATTGACAAGCGTTGGTTCATGGGAAAAAACATACAAAAAATAGTGACAGTGACATGGAGTGTATGTTCATCTGCCCAATCAGGGGGCAGGGAGAGTGGGGCTGGTTCCATAGTAGTATCATTATGGGATTGTGCAGTTATAGCTTCGGTTTACTAAAAAGAATGACAGTAATAGCAACACCAATAGTATTTACATTTCTATACCGCTTAAGAATGACAGTAATAGCAACACCAATAGTATTTACATTTCTAAACCACTTATCAATGAACTAAGCATTCTCTAAGCGGTTTACAATCTGTAAGCTAATTGCCTCCAACAAGCTGGGTACTCATTTTACAGGCCTATGAAAGGATGGAAGGCTGAGTCAACCTTGGAGGCCTGGGATCAAACTCATAACCTTGTGGCTGCAATACCAGCATGTAACCGCTGCACCACCAGGACTTCTATGGATGGAAGGATGGAATAAGAGATGGTGCAAAGAGGGTGATATAAAAGCTACAGTATTTCAAATGCGAGAACTAAGAACTGAAACACAAGAACTAAGGCCACTGAAATGCAACTGCAGTGATTGTGTAAAATAATGTTCTGTCATTCAATTACTGAATACAGGAGACGCAGTTTTCCAATGGAACCACTCGAAACAACCGACTAGTGTGATAAGCACCAATATTAGTATGCTTGATTCTTCAGCACAAACTTTTAGTACAGCAGTTGTAAAACTATATTCTGTATTTCCTCAGTCAAAAGATCAGACATAGGAGACAAACAACCCTAGGAAATGGCATGCTTATTACCAGCAATCTTTCCTTTTAATGCATAACTACAGAGGAGTGCTAAGTATGTTTCAGCTCATACAGTGCAACAGTAGGGCTCAAAAGGTCTGGTTGTTGCTTCATTTGTATTTAGATGCATGTCTATGTGCCAGAGATTGTATGTGCAGCATACAACGATTCTGTTGCAGCCATGCAGACGGTTATATACAGACAAGTCAATGTGGAAAGGATTATTTCAAACTATACCTATAAGAAAGAAGAAGCGGGTCTGAAGATTTTTCTACAAGAAAATAAAAATTGATATAGACAGTCCCATAATGTTATTGCCTGGAAGGGTAACTCTGGACAGCTATTCCCCATTAGACGGAGCCAGCATAGCTAAAGGTTAGCAATGCTAGGAATTCTAGTCCTACAACATCTGGACAGCTGCAATTTGCTTGGGCTAAGGCATTCAAAGGTCTAATTCAGTATGACAGTTGCAAATACTTGCATGAGGGCATTTAGACATACACAATAACATTACAGAATGTTATGTGATATACCAGGAATTAAAAGAATATTCATATATTCTGTAACAATCTTCTGAAGTCATAGAAATGGAACCGAGGTAAAAGCTAGTATTCCTGTGGACTGTACGTGCATGAATACATGCATCCCTCATTGCCAAAAGAGCATTTTGTACAAGTTCTCACTGAATGTGGTGAAGGCAAATGACACATCCCTTCCAGTGCCAGGCTTTACATTGGACATACAGCCTCTTTTCCAAAGATTTCCTTTCCTAAACCAGCATACATAATTAGCATCTGCTAAAGCTGCACTGGGGGGGAAGACTTACAGGAAAGCTACTTGATACTGCATCTAAAAGTGCTCCTGTTCCGGGCTGCGTAATGAGTAGTGGATGAAAAGCAATATTTTCTCTTCATGTGGAGCTCAGTGAGGAAAGTTCCAGGCCTGCCACACACAACTTCTTTAATAATGCAACCCAGTGCCTTTGATTCCAGGAACATGGGAAAGAATAAACAACCTATTAATCTGAGTTTTCTAGTTTGCCTCAAAGTACAAAGCAGCAGTGAATAAACCCCTTGGCTAAACCAAATGTACTGAAATACAAAGTCGCTTCTCCTCACTCCTGCAGAATTACTCACAGGGAAATAAAACAGAAATGGCTTTAATGATGGCTGCTCAATTACAACAGAGGGTGCAAAGTAGTCTGAACAGAGCTGTTTTGTGTTTTCACATGAAAGCACTTTGATATAACCGGATACACTCAAGCCAATTATGAAAGGTGCAACGCTATCCAACCCAAGGAGTGAGAATCATCAGCTTAGCCAGTTCTCAGTGTAGTGTCACTAAGTACACTGAGAAAGGCAGAGATAATTTTGTGAGTCTCACATTCTTAGGGATTTATTTATCTTGGATAATTCCAGACTTGCCTGTGAATGAATTAGACAGTTTGTATGTCACCAATATTAAAGTACGGGGTTATATTATTATTATTATTATTATTATTATTATTATTATTATTATTATTATTATTATTATTATTATTATCTCCCGCCTTTTCCTCAAAATTGGGAATCAAAGTGGCTTACAGTTTAAAGGCACAGTAAAGACTTACAAAAGTGATGATTAAAATAGAATTAAACTATTACAATATTATAACAGATCATTTGTTTAAAAACATAATACAATTAAGATAAAAGCACTTAGAAACCATAGGCTTTAAAACAGTATAACACCCCCCTAGCGGAAGAACAACAAGGACGGGGCAATTCTGACCTCCCTGGGAAGGGGTTTCCAGAGACTAGGGGCAGCCACTGAGAAGGCCCTCTCATATCCTCACCAACTGTGCTTGTGATGGGGGTAGGACTGAGAAAAAGGCCTCTCAAGGATCTCAGAGTCCAGGCTGGCTCATACAGGGAGATACAGTCTGCCAAATACCCTGGAGCTGAGCTATATAGGGCTTTATAGGTCATAACCAGCACTCTGAATTGTGCTAGGAAAACAAACTGACAACCAGTAAAACTGTTTCAACAGGAGCATTGTATGGTCTCTGTAACCTGTCTCAGTTAACAGTCTGGCTGTTGCTCTTTGGATCAGCTGGACACTGGCTGATAATGGTAGGCTGGACACTGGCTGATAATTATCCATTATAATGGGATTCAAGGATAGCCTTTTCAGTGGCTATCCTCACAACTGCCTCCTTTGGGCAAGTTGGAATGCTGCCTTGTTGTAGGGAGGCACTGACTACCTCCTTCAGCCACTCAGATAGTACCCCTCTGGCCTGTTTAATAAGTCAGGAAGGACAAGGGTCTAAGACAGGTGTGGTGGCTGCACAAATTGAAAAGTATCCATTAACACTGGACAAACAGACACCAAGCACTTTATCAGCTACAGCATTCAAGTCAGAACAGATCTGAGCAATTTTATCTGCAAAGTGCAGTGCAAATTCTTCACAGCAGGCTGCCAAGTGATCTACATTTTTTACTTGAGGGTATATGTGCTGGAGACCCCAGACCACTTGGAACAGCTCTGCTGGACAACACCCTGTAAATGCAATGCTGGAATTGGGCTTCAAATAGGCTCTAGCCTGTATTTGGCAGATTCACTTTGAGTCATCCACCATCATCACTCTAGTCTCTGTCTCACTTGTTTCATCACCACCAACTCCTCGAGAACCACGAGGTCCATTCCATAAGAGGGAACACTCAGAAGTAATTATGTCCGCCACCCTGGCTATTTCCCCATTCCCAAGATTCAACAGAATCTCCTGCCAAGGTGACAGAAAACTTCCCAAGATCCTTCAGGAATTCATCTGGATCCATCCACCTCCTGGGCAATCCTAATCCTAATTGATCCCCCACCCCTGCACAGGTTCCAAGCCCCCATGAGTCTAAACCTGTTCAGATAATGATCTGTCTATGACAACACAACACAGTTCCTCCACACCAAGATCACTATCACCCCATCTAGAACAGAAAACAAGGTCCAAAGTGTGCCCAGCAGCATGAGTAGGGCCAAATACCACTTGAGACAGACCCATGGTTGACAAGGAGCCCATGAAGTCCTGAGCCATTCCTGAAAGGGCAGTCTCAGCATGGATGTTGAAGTCTCCCAACACTAACAGCTGTAGGGAATTCAACACTAACTCTGAGACCACCCAAGCTAGCTAAGGAAGGGAGACTGTTGAACAGTGGGGTGGGCAGTACACTAACAGAATCCCTATTCTGTCCTGGCTACCCACCTTAGGATATACATACTCAAAATCAGTAGATTGTGGGAAGGGGTATCTGGTTAGGGGCATGGAATCATGATAAACCATTGGAACTCCACCTCCTCACCCCCCAGGTCTTGCCTGCTGCTCCACAGAGAATCCTGGTGAGCAAAACTAAGCGAGATTAACACATACATACTCATCATCCATTATCAAATCCTGAATGGCATTTGTTTTGCCATTAAC